GAAAAACCAATAATAGATATATAAAAATATCTCATAGAAATGATTGCTTCTCACAAATAAAGGGAAAAGAAGTAATGCAATAGTACCTGGTTGGGGGAAAAAAAGAGACTCATCAAGACAACCGAAATTCCTCTCCGCAGATACAGCCAACTATTTCCATTCCCCCTTTCTTTATGACAAAATATATCAATTGAAAAGTACAAGAAAATACAAATTAATTCAACAGTATGTTACATGTATCGGTTCTGTATCTGCAGAACCGATATATGTAGTTTCAATTATCCAAGGTTCTTCTTCGTGGTGTCGGTGAAATCGCACATATTTGAGTTTACTTTGTGCATGCACAATGCAGTTTGGAATCTTTTAAATTCTTGGGTTGTTGTAAGGTTTTTCGGGGCTATATGGCCATGGTCTAGAGGCATTCTCCTGACGTTTCGCCTGCATCTATGGCAAGCATCCTCAGAGGTAGTGAGGTCTGTTGGAACTAGGAAAAATGGGTTTATATATCTGTGGAATGACCAGGGTGGGACAAAGGACTCTTGTCTGCTGGAGCTAGGTGTGAATGTTTCAACTGACCACCTTGATTAGCATTTGATGCCCTGGCAGTGCCTGGGGCAATCTTTTGTTGAGAGGTGATTAGAACAGCACAACAACAGAGAAGAAACATACAAGGACATCTAATCACTTCTCAACAAAAGATTGCTCCAGGCACTGCCAGGCAATCAAATGCTAATCAAGGTGGTCAGTTGAAACATTCACACCTAGCTCCAGCAGACAAGAGTCCTTTGTCCCACCCTGGTCATTTCACAGATATATAAACCCCTTTTCCTAGTTCCAACAGACCTCACTACCTCTGAGGATGCTTGCCATAGATGCAGGCGAAACGTCAGGAGAGAATGCCTCTAGACCATGGCCATATAGCCCGAAAAAACCTACAACAACCCAGTGATTCCGGCCATGAAAGCCTTCGACAATACTTTTAAATCCTTGTTTGTACTTCCAATTTTTCATTATCCATCATTTCCTGTATCTATTTTGTATGTTACGAAGGACACCTTGGTTTCAGAGAAAGCTTGGGATGAACTCTAATTTGCAATTTCGTTTTAAGGGGAGGAATACTTAAAGAGTTTTGTACGCGATTTCGGTCTTTCAGGTGGTCATCCTTAAATGTCCTTGGTAAACAGAGGACATTGCTTTTGTTGCCAAACCCAAATATAAGGGAGGTGTTTGTAGCTAAAATTCACTCCACTGTGCGTTAAGAAACTATGTGCATGTACCTTTAATTGCAGGACTAACCTGTGCTCCATCCACTCCTTAGTTCAGTGCTTCTCAACCTTCAATGCCGCGACCCCTTAAGACAGTTCCTCATGTTGTGGTGACCCCCAACCATAACATTATTTTTGTTGCTACTTCATAACTGTAATTTTGCTCCTGTTATGAATCGTAATGTAAATATCTGATATGCAGGATGTATTCTCATTCACTGGACCACATTTGGTACAAATACCCAATAGCTTTGGAAAAGCTTTGGAAGCTTTTAAACAGAGGCTGGATGGCCATCTGTCAGGGGTGCTTTGAATGCAATATTCCTGCTTCTTGGCAGAATGGGGTTGGACTGGATGGCCCATGAGGTCTCTTCCAACTCTATGATTCTATGAAATTGGGTGTGATTACATTGAGGAAGATTGATTTTGTCATTTGGGAGCTGTAGTTGCTGGGATTTATAGTTCACCTACAATCAAAGAGCATTCTGAACTCCACTAATGATGGAATTGAACAAAACTTGGTACACAGAACTCCCATGATCAATAGAAAATACTTTGGTGGGCATTGACCTTAAGTTTTGGAGTTGTAGTTCATAGAATCATAGAATCAAAGAGTTGGAAGACACCTCATGGGCCATCCAGTCCAACCCCCTGCCAAGAAGCAGGAATATTGCATTCAAATCACCCCTGACAGATGGCCATCCAGCCTCTGTTTAAAAGCTTCCAAAGAAGGAGCCTCCTACACCTACATCCAGAGAGCACTGTGGACTCAATCAATGGTGGATCTAGACCCAACTTGGCATGAATACTCAATATGCCCAAATGTCAACACTGGTGGAGTTTGGGGAAAATAGACTTGACATTTGGGAGTTGTAGTTGCTGGGATTTATAGTTCACCTACAATCAAAGAGCATTCTGAACTCCACCAACGATGGAATTGGACCAAACTTGGCACACAGAACTCCTATGACCAACAGAAAACACTAGAACGGTTTGGTGGGAATTGACCTTGAGTTTTGGAGTTGTAGTTCACCTATATCCTGAGAGCACTGTGGACTCAAACAATGATGGATCTGGACCAAACTTGGCACGAATACTCAATATGCCCAAATGTGAACACTGGTGGAGTTTGGGGAAAATAGACCTTGACATTTGGGAGTTGTAGTTGCTGGGATTTATAGTTCACCTACAATCAAAGAGCATTCTGAACTCCACCAATGATGGAATTGAACCAAACTTGGCACACAGAACTCCCATGACCAACAGAAAACACTCGAAGGGTTTGGTGGGCATTGACCTTGAGTTTGGGAGTTGTAGTTCACCTACATCCAGAGAGCACTGTGGACTCAAACAATGATGGATCTGGACCAAACTTGGCACGCATACTCACTATGCCCAAATGTGAACACTGGTGGAGTTTGGGGAAAATAGACTTGACATTTGGGAGTTGTAGTTGCTGGGATTTATAGTTCACCTACAATCAAAGAGCATTCTGAACTCCACCAACGATGGAATTGGACCAAACTTGGCACACAGAACTCCTATGACCAACAGAAAACACTAGAACGGTTTGGTGGGAATTGACCTTGAGTTTTGGAGTTGTAGTTCACCTATATCCTGAGAGCACTGTGGACTCAAACAATGATGGATCTGGACCAAACTTGTCATGAATACTCAATATGCCCAAATGTCAACACTGGTGGAGTTTGGGAAAATAGACCTTGACATTTGGGAGTTGTAGTTGCTGGGATTTATAGTTCACCTACAATCAGAGCCTTCTGAACTCCACCAATGATGGAATTGGACCAAACTTCCCACACCGAACCCCCATGACCAACATAAAATACTGTGTTTTCTGATGGTCTTTGATGACCCCTCTGACACTCCCTTGTGACCCCCTGGGGGTCCAAACCCCCAGGTTGAGAAACGCTGGCTTAGAGGATAAGATTCCAGGTGGACAGACTAATGAGTAGATAGATAGGAGATTTACATTTTGTAAACACAGAGCTGCTCAGCAGTTTGCGAAGGTCACACCGAACCCCCATGACCAACATAAAATACTATGTTTTCTGATAGTCTTTGGTGACTCCCCTTGTGACCCCTCCAGGGGTCCCGACACCCAGGTTGAGAAACACTGCCTTAATTTGAAACATGTGCCTATGTTCTCAGTGTCGTGTCGCCATTAATCCAGGCTGTCTCTTGTGCTAAATGTTGAAAAACTAATTCCACAGAGAAGGCACAAGTGGATAAAAACCAAAAGAAAAAGTGAAAAAACAACGCAGAAAGAACAGTGGACACTCTCGCCTTGGAGGAGTGGTCCTATTTTCCAGCATCAGAGAGTTCCAATTCGGAATGGGATTATTTGAACTCTCTTGGATTGTGCCGATACTTTTAAACACAGCGCTAAAAGCCAAGGGGAAGCCATAGCTTTGCTGTCTCCAAGTGAAGAACACAAAGCACTGGAAAAAACTAGATTTATTCTCCCTTCCTCTCCAAAGCGGGAATTGGGGTCACGCTAGTTAGCCGAACCCCATCCCTTAGCACCATGGAAGAAAGGAAAGGAAACAACTAACTTGTCTGCCTGTTAGTTACTTCCGTCCACAGTGAATTGGAAGTAATAAACATCCTATTCCATGTCATGAATCTGAAAATATCCAACAGTTTTTTCATAAGTTGGAGATGGAGACTTAAGGAAGAAATGAAAGGAGAAGATCTCCAAATTTTGGATACAAGAAGAGGCAGGAAAGAGGGCAAAGTGAAGGTTGTGGTTACTACTCTCCTGCCCACCAAGAGATGGAGTACCGGACATAAACTGAACACGACAGAGGTATTGCCTTTCTGTTTTAGTGTTGTAGTACAAGGGTTGAATGAAAAGTAATGCCTGCATCTTCATAACTCCTCAACAGATGGCAGTACTGGTATGTGGCAGGTACTGGCTTGTTCAGTAGACTCTCCTCTACAGTTCCATTTTGGCAGGAAGCCTTAGCATTGAACGGTGGTGTTGTTAAAATGAAAAGTAATGCCTCCACCTTCGTAACTCCTCAACAGATGGCAGTACTGGAATGTGGCAGGTACTGGCTTGTTCAGTAGACTCTCCTCTACAGTTCCATTTTGGCAGGAAGACTTAGCATTGAACGGTGGTGTTGTTAAAATGAAAAGTAATACCTCCACCTTCGTAACTCCTCAACAGATGGCAGTACTGGTATGTGGCAGGTACTGCCTTGTTCAGCAGAATCTCCTCTACAGTTCCATTTTGGTGGGAAGTCTTAGCATTGCACGGTGTTGTTGTTAAAGTGCGAAGTATGGAACCCTGCGCAGATGATCGATCAATGTGGCTTAAGCAATGTGCAGTCATTGAATTCTTGACAGCAGGAGATTCATCAGAGAATGCAAGCTGTTTATGTGAGTATTATGCATTGTTGGGCAAGAAAGTTTAAAGATGTTAAGGTGGGAACATCTGAATTGCGTGACAAAGAGTTGGACATCTTGTGACAGCAACCACCGGGTTTCACAAGCAAAAGGTTGACAGATATGATAGCCATGTATAAATATGTGAGAGGAAGCCACAGGGAGGAGGGAGCAAGCTTGTTTACTGCTTCCATGGAGATTAGGACACGGAACAATGGCTTCAAACTACATCTGAACATGAGGAAGACCTTCTTGACTGTGAGAGCCGTTCAGCAGTGGAACTCTCTGCCCCGGAGTGTGGTGGAGGCTCCTTCTTTGAAAGCTTTTAAACAGAGGCTGGATAGCCATCTGTCAGGGGTGATTTGAATGCAATATTCCTGCTTCTTGGCAGAATGGGGTTGGACTGGATGGCCCATGAGGTCTCTTCCAACTCTTTGATTCTATGATTCTATGATTGATTCAGGACGATCGTCATGCCACTCAAAGAGAAATTTCAAGCAAGTTAAAGAGCACATTCTAAGGATTATTCCTGCCTTTGATTTATTAAAACATTCCCATCCAAACTCAAGTAACGAAGGTGGAGGCATTACTTTTCATTCAACCCTCGTATTTGCCACACACAAACACATGCAAAAGGAAGATGCAACCATGGAAGAAGGAAGCTTCACACATGCGGGAGAGGGGTTTCCCTTATCAAGGCACTTCGAACGTTCCTGAACCAGCACCTCTGGTCTGGAAGACGACATTAAAACGCAACCAAGAAGGATAGCTTCAAAGGCAAAATCCCATTCCTCTGAAGGGAAGAACGGATGGATGAGCTTCCTACCCAACTCGCTGTCCTTTTATAAGTCCAGAGACTCCTCCACCGGCACCGACTGCAGCTGGGTCAGCACTTTCTCCCCGGAGTCGAGACCCTCTGGATCCATGGGGTCTCCCCCTGAGTCGTCCAGCAAGAGGCCTTCGTCTTCGGGGAGCCGAAGTAACCCCGCTTGCTCCTCCATGGGGTCCTTGTCCAGTTCAAAGAGCCCCACGGAGCCATTCCCTTGGAGGCCCATACCGACGGGGTCGGACCATACCATCTGCTGTTGGGACAGGCTCTCGTTTTGGGAGAAATCCGAAAGCAAGCTGGATGGGCCAGAGTCCGGGCCAAAGGACGAAAAGCTGGCTTGCCCAGTATTGTCAGAAGCGGAGAGAGAGGAGACTTCGGACGCGACACTCGAAAGCAACAAGTTGCCACCACCATCTTCGTGGCGCTCGAGAACTGCGGCCGGAGTAGCCGCCTCTTCCTGTTTGATTGGAGGGGCCAAACTGGGCGCCGCTGCTGCCGGAGTAGTCGAGAGTATGGGTGCCATCAACATGCCCGCTGGGAACGTGGCGGTCAAGATCAGCTTGCCTTGCTGCAGTGCCATGCCGGTGACGATGGTGCTGCTGCCCGTCGCCGGGTTGGTCAGGAGGATATTCCCTAAAGTGGAGAGAAAAATGGGAGAAGGTAAGGAAAGATCTTGGAGCCTTGTCTCAGCTTCTCCACCTAACCCCAGTAAATTTTTGTAATGGCATGTCTCTATCCTTGGCAGTTTAAAGACATAGTTCTTCAGTTTAATAGCTGAGTTACCTGTGTGCCATTACATCAATGCTTATGAATATCCTTGGCAGTTTGAAGACATGGTCCTTCAGTTGAACAACTGAGTTACCTGTGTGCCATTACATTAATGCTTATGAATATCACCAACACCTCTCATTGGAAATTCCATAACATATCTATGTATATAATAAAAGTCAGTGTTTGTATGCGGAGGACGGTGTATGTGGCAGCTTTCTGACTGGCTGCCAATTTCACAGGACACTGTGACCAGCACGGGTGATGGACCTGGACCAAACTTGGCACACATAACCCCCATGTCCCCCTTTACGTCCTGGGGAGGTTTGGGGGAAGACGGACAAGAGATGATGGGATTTGTAGTACTTTCAAACCCATCAGTTCTCACAGACCACTGTGGCCCCCAATGAAGACCGATAAAGACCAAACTTGGCACACAGAACCCCCATGACCCACTCTACATCCTGGTGCACTTTCGAGGAGGACAGACCATGGATGATGGGACTTCAAGTACCTCCACTCACTTCCCAAGACTGCTGCAAACCTCATCTAATGACCCGATCATGACCAAACTTGACACACAGAGCCCCCATGAGCCACTCCACATCCCGGTGCTGTTTGGAGGTGGATGGATGATGGGACTTGCAATACCTTCACTCACTTCCTGAAACCACAGCGACACTCATCCAAATACCAATAAAGACCAAACTTGGCACAGAGAGCACAGAGAGCCCCCATGGCCAACTCAACATTCTGGTGAGGTTTAAGGGAGAACAGACTATGGATGATGGGATTTGCAGTACCTTTCTGAGACCACCGTGACCCTCATCCAATGACTGATCAAGATCAAACTTGGCACACAAAGCCCGCATGACCCACTCTCCATCCTGGTGCAGTTTGGAGGAGGATGGACCACAGATGATGGGACTTACACTACCTTCACTAACTTCCTGAGACCACTGCAAGCCATATAAATAACAGATAAAGACCAAACTTGATACACAATTCCTTTCTCAAATAACCCGGGCAGCGCCGGGTCCCCAAGCTAGTTGGAAATAAGAGCAAGGCAAAGGCAAAGATTTTCCCCTGACATTAAGTCCAGTCGTGTCTGACTCTGGGGATTGGTGCTCATCTCCATTTCTAAGGTGAAGAGCCAGCGTTGTCTGTAGACACCTCCAAGGTGATGTGAAATAAGTGCACCATAACTTTATTGAAAAGGTAAAAATGATGTCACATCCGTTTGGCAAATGTGAATCTCCATGAACATGTGGAAAGAACCTTTTGAAAACCACTAGTCAAGAAAAAACATTACCTTGTTAGAAGTCATCTCTTTGAACAAATGATATTCATAAACATGTACATAATGGCACACAGGTAACTCAGTTGTTCAACTGAAGAACCATGTCTTCAAACTGCCAAGGATATTCATAAGCATTGATGTAATGGCACACGGGTAACTCAGCTGTTAAACTGAAGAACCATGTCTTCAAACTGCCAAGGATATTCATAAGCATTGACGTAATGGCAACACAGGTAACTCAGTTGTTCAACTGAAGAACCATGTCTTCAAACTGCCAAGGATATTCATAAGCATTGACGTAATGGCACACAGGTAACTCAGCTGTTCAACTGAAGAACCATGTCTTCAAACTGCCAAGGATATTCATAAGCATTTACATAATGGCACACAGGTAATTCAGCTGTTAAACTGAAGAACCATGTCTTCAAACATGGCACTACAAAAATATATTTGGTTAGCAGAGGCAGGGGCGGCTGAAGCAAGAGGCAAATTACGCATTTGCGTATAGCGCAAATCCCCAATGGGTGCTCTTGAGGCGCCCCTGGGGGCGGGATGAGGGCGGAGGGAGGGGCAGGGCTTCGTGCACGCCACAGAACACCTGGGTGCTCCTGGGGTGGCCGCCCATCCCTCCCTCTCCGTAACCATGGCCTCATGTGCACGAGGGATGAAGCCGCCCTCTGAGCAGTAGTGTCATCTTCTCTGTCCCTCTCGCCAGGAGTCTCGCCATGGAGAAAACGGGCTTGCACCCCGTGGGGAGGCTCTTCTGGCACTGAAGCGAGTCTGAGGAGTCCAAGGCGGACTCGCTGCCTTCCCCATGCCCTTCCCCGGCTCCGGAACCGCGGCAGGAGCATTGCCTCAGTGGATCCTGGAATGGATCACCCGCGATAAGTGAGGGAATACTGTATACACATTTTCAAACAGTTAATGGAGGCTTGGAAGGTTGCTATTTCCAACACCTTTACCTCTGTGCTCACTCTATCCAACCCCTTAAGGCACCTCCCCAAGCATTTCACCTCCCAAAAAGGATACCTGGTGTTGTGCCTGGAAGCTGCAGCGCAGTGATGCCCATGTTGGTGTTGATGAGATGCATGCCGCCGCTCTGTCCGAGGTGCCCACCTGCCACCGTCCCCTGCTGCGTCCCCGCCACGGTGCCCATTTTGATGGGGGCAGAGCTGGTCAAGATCTGGATGGGGCTGCCCACATTTTGCTGCAGCGTCACCACCTGCGAGGTGGGCACCACTTGGGGCAGGGAGATAATCTGCGACCCTTGGGGCACTTGGGGGAGAGAGACAATCTGGGGGGCCGCCACCCCTTGGGGCAATGTATAGATCTGGGTGGGTGACATGGGGACCATCTGAGACGGGGAGAGCACCTGGGTCCCCGAAACAGGCTGGGAGAGGGGGACGACTTGGGATGGAGGTGAAACTTGGGCGATGGGGACCAGGGACGGGGCTGGGACGTGGAGAACGGTGGCTTGATCGGACGAAGAGACGGCGGCCGGAGATGGAGTCGCCAAGGTGAGCTGGCCACTCATAGTAGGCACGGCTTCCAGGGGAGATGGCAAAGCTGGGGTAGCTGGGACTATCTTGGCTGAAGGGCTAGAAGTGGCTGCCGGTTGAGTAGCCACTTGATCTTCTTCTTTCAATGGCACAACTTGCGGCATCGAAACGGTACCCAAGAGGCCCTCTTTTTGGTTGGAGAGCAGAGTGGAGGCATCAGGGAGAGAGACGAGGGGGTGGACGGACTGTTTCTCCTCATCCTCTTTCTTCACTCCAAAACCCAAGGCTTCTTCACTTTCGGACTTCGGGACTGGTGTGCTGAGGAGGACAGTGGCTGGCGGAAGGGGCTCTTTGGAGACCTCCTGGTTGGCGGGGATGATGGGTTTGCTGCTCAAGAGAGCCGTGGAGCCATTGAGGAGGATGGGGGGACTGGGTGCTGCTGCTGTCACCGGACTCAAGGTGATGGTTTGGTTATCTCCCAGCGTCAAACCGTTCAGGATGACGCCTCCGCTTGAGGTCTGGATAACGGAGCCACCATTGAGGAACATGGTGGGCGAGGTGGCGGTGATGAAGTTGCCATTCAGAAGGATGGAAGAGGCACTGGAGCCGGCGGCTGGCAGGAAAAGGCTGTTGGAAGCTGGGACCCCTTCCGGAGTACTAGACATCCCAATTGACACTTCTGTTTCCTCAGGCCCATGGCTGGATTCATCCTCCGTGCTGGGATTCCCATCGGATTCGCTGCAGGATGGAAAAATATCAGACAATGAATACCCCAGATCTGCCATGTTTAGGTTATAGCAGCATCAAGCCTACAAAATCTATATAAATAAAAATGTAATGTTCGTTTGTGGGATTAACATAACTCAAAAGCCGCTGGGCAAACTGACACCAAATTTGGACACGATGCATCTATCAGGCCAACGAGTGACCATCACCTCTAAAAACACACAAAAAACCCCAGCAGAACGGACTTTAAAAATCTGATACGATAAATAAATAACCACACACTGGACAATTTAGCAATTCCTAAAGAGCAGTGTTTCTCAACCTGGGGGTCAGGAACCCTGAAGGGGTCCTGAGGGGATGTCAGAGGGTTGGGGTTCAGAATAATCATTGGTGGGGTTCAGAATACTCTTTGATTGCAGGTGAACTGTAAATCCCAGCAACTACAACTCCCAAATGTCAAGGTCTATTTTCCCCAAACTCCACCAGTGTTGACATTTGGGCATATTGAATATTTGTGCCAAGTTTGGTCCAGATCCATCATAGTTTGAGTCCATAGTGCTCTCTGGATGTAGGTAAACTACAACTCCAAAACTCAAGGTCAGTGCACACCCAACCCAGTATTTTCTGTTGTTCATGGGAGTTGTGTGCCAAGTATGGTTCAATTCCATCGTTGGTGGAGTTCAGAATGCTCTTTGATTGTAGGTGAACTATACATCTCAGAAACTACAACTCCCAAATGTCAAGGTCTATTTYCCCCAAACTCCACCAGTGTTCACATTTGGGCATATTGAATATTTGTGCCATGTTTGGTCCAGATCCAWCATTGTTTGAGTGCACAGTGCTCTCTGGATGTAGATGAACTACAACTCCAAAACTCAAGGTCAATGCCCACCAAACCCTTCCAGTATTTTCTGTTTCATCATGGGAGTTCTGTGTGCCAAGTTTGGTTYAATTCTATCGTTGGTGGAGTTCTGAATGCTCTTTGATTGTAGGTTAACTATAAATCCCAGYAACTACAACTCCCAAATGCCAAGGCCTATTTCCTCCAAACTCCAYCAGTGTTGWCATTTGGCCATATTGAATATTTGTGTCAAGTTTGGTCTAGATCCATCATAGTTTGAGTCCACAGTGCTCTCTGGATGTAGGTGAACTACAACTCCAAAACTCAAGGTCAGTGCACACCAAACCATTCCAGTATTTTCTGTATGCCAAGTTTGGTTCAATTCTATCATTGGTGGAGTTCAAATGCTTTCTGATTGTAGCTGAACTATAAATCCCAGCAACTACAACTCCCAAATGTCAAGGTCTATTTTCCCCAAACTCACCAGTGTTGACATTTGGGCATATTGAGTGCTTGTGCCAAGTTTGGTCCAGATCCATCATTGTTTGAGTCCACAGTGCTCTCTGAATGTAGGTGAACTACAACTCCAAAACTCAAGGTCCAGTATTTTCTGTTGTTTATGGAAGTTGTGTGCCAAGTTTGGTTCAATTCCATCATTGGTGGAGTTCGGAATGCTCTTTGATTGTAGGTTAACAATAAATCCCAGCAACTACAGCTCCCAAAAGACAAAATCAATCCCCCCCCCCCAAACCCCACCAGTACTCAAATTTGGATGCATTGGGTATTTTTGCCAGATTTGGTCCAGTGAATGAAAATACATCCGGCATATCTGGTATTTGCATTACGATTCATAACAGKARCAAAATTRCAGTTATGAAGYAGCAACAAAATTAATRTTATGGTTGGGGGTCACCACAACAGGAGGAACTGTMTTAAGGGGTYGCGGCATTAGGAAGGGTGTGAACCACTGCTAAAGAGACTACGTGAATCAAACCCACGAATCAGATCGGCAAAAGTCAAAACCACAAATGTGGCGGGACAACCGTAGAATGAAAAGGCTTCCCAAACCGGAAGCAGGCGGCACCTTTCTTGTGGTTGTCCCCTCCCCATTTAGAGTCCCCAAAAAACTAACTCGGGTTTGGTTTGTCCTCTTTGCCCACTTGCTCTCTTCCCTTCTCCAAACAAAAGCCAGAAACCACTGAAGTTGGAGAACTTTCCAGCTCGTTCCTCCCTTTCTGCCAGGCCTTCCAGGGGGTTTGGGTGGGGAAAAACAAGGCTCCTCGCTCCAGATGTTCTTCCAGTTTGGAGACACAAACATTTCCCTCTCCCTTTTGCAGAACTCTCTCTGCATTATTTCAAAATCGCCGCATGGAATCCGAAAACGTTTGCGGTTATACTTAGCTTGTGTTTAAATAAATGTACACTTCCTTGTATTTTTTCTGTATCATTTTTTTAGTTCATTGCTTGCAATCTAGTAACGTATACTGTTACAATTTGTTTGGGTTTAAATATATGTCATTTTTAGTTAATTCAAGTTCTCTGGACTCATGAATCCCAGTCTTGGAGGAGAAGAGAAGATACACATCTCGTGAATGAGTTGTTTCCATTTTGGCTGGTTCTGCATTCGGAGATGTTTGGATAAGGGATGCTCCACTGTCAAAACAGGCAACCCAAGGAGAAGGAGAACGACAAGGTGCACTCCGCCCGTGCCTAGAGGTACTCCTTCCTCTTCTGTCTTTTCACCTGGCATATTATTAAAAACAGGGTGTAGGAAGCTGCCTTCAGCTATGTGTCTAAGGGAGGCATGGGCAAACTTGGACTCTCCAGGTGTTTTGGACTTCAACTCACACAATTCCTAACCGTCTACCGGCTGTTTGGACTTGTGGGAGTTGAAGTCCAAAACACCTGGAGGGCCCAAGTTTGCCCAAGCCTTCTCTAGAGCCCCTATTCCATGCCTATGCTCAGAGGCCTATGAAACATGAAAGGGCATCATTGTTGTCTAGAGCCCCCATTCTAGTATGTTTTTTCCCAAAGCCCTCTGCCCGTGCTCAGAGGCCCTCTTTCCTCCTGGAATAGCACCAGAAATGCATACAGTTGCCATGTACAGAAGGTGTATAGGAAACATGAAAGAATGTTGTTGTTGTTGTTTTTTTTGTCGTGTCAGGAGCGACCTGAGAAACTGCAAGTCACTTCTGGTGTGAGAGAATTGGCCGTCTGCAAGGACGTTGCCCAGGGGATGACCAGATGATTTTTTTATGTTTTATCATCCTTGAGGGAGGCTTCTCTCATGTCCCCGCATGAGGAGCTGGAGCTGATAGAGGGAGCTCATCCACCTCTCCCCAGATTTGAACCCGCGACCTGTCGGTCTTCAGTCCTGCCGGCACAGGGGTTTAACCCACTGCACCACCGTTGTTGTCTAGGCTTGAGTTCCACCTCCAAAATCCACAAACTGCACTCTGTCCATGCTCAGAGGCCCTCTTTCCTCCTTGTGTAGCATCAGAAATGCATACAGTTGCCATGTACAGAAGGTGTATACGAAACATGAAAGAATGTTGTTGTCTAGGCTTGAGTTCCACCTCCAACATCCACAAACAGCACTCTGCCCATGCTCAGAGGCCCTCTTTCCTCCTGGTATGGCATCAGAAATGCATAGTTACCTTATGCAGAAAGTGTATACGAAACATGAAAGTATGTTGTTGTCTAGACTTGAGTCCCACCCCTCAGATCCACAAACTGCACTCTGCCCATGCTCAGAGGCCCTCTTTCCTCCTGGCATGGCATGAGAAAGGCATACAGTTGCCTTGTGCAGGAGGTGCACATGGAACGTGAAAGAATGTTGTTGTCTAGGCTTGAGTCTCACCTCCAGGATCCACAAACTACTCTGCCTATGCTCTAGAGACCCTATTCCAAAATTGACAAAAAACCCTTTGCCCATGCTCAGAGGCCCTCTTTCTCCTGGCACAGCATCAGAAATGCTGTGCCAGGAGGCGTATACGAAACATAGAAGTATGTTGTTGCCTAGGCTCGAGTCCCACCCCTCAGATCCACAAACTGCACTCTGTCCATGCTCAGAGGCCCTCTTTCCTTCTGGCCTGGCATCCGAAATGCATGCAGTTGCTTTGTGCAGAAGGTGCATACAGTTGCCATGTACAAAAGGTATATACGAAACATGAAAGTATGTTGTTGTCTAGACTCCAGTCCCACCGTTCAGATTCACAAACTGCAATCTGCCCATGTTTAGAGGCCCTCTTTCCCATTGGCATAGCATCAGAAACGCATACAGCTGCCATGTGCAGAAAGTGCATACAAAACATGAAAGTATGTTGTTGTCTAGGCATGAGTCCCACCTGCAAGATTCACAAACTGCACTCTGCCCACGCTCAGAGGCCCTCTTTCCCCCTGGAATAGCATCAGAAATGCATACACTTGCCATGGACGGAAGGTGCATACCAAACATGAAAGTATGTTGTTGTCTAGGCTCGAGTCCCACCCCTCAGATCCACAAACTGCACTCTGCCCGTGCTCAGAGGCCCACTTTTCCCCTGGCATAGCATCAAAAATGCATACAGTTTCCTTGTGCAGAAGATGCATATGAGAAAATAAAGAATGTTGTTGTCTCGGCTCGAGTCTCACCCTTGAGCTCCACAAACTGCACTCTGTCCATGCTCAGCGGCCCTCTTTCCCCCTATTCCAAGATTGACAAAAAAGCCCTCTGCCCATGCTCAGGGGCCCTCTTTCCTTCTGTCATTGTGTTAGTAATGTGTATTATTTCATTGTGCAGGAGGTGGATATGAAACACGAAGGAATGTTGTTGTCTAGGCCTGAGTCCAACCTCCAAGATCCACAAACTGCACTCTGCCCATGCTCAGAGGCCCTCTTTCCCCCTGGCACATGAAATAATGTTGTTGCTTGGAGCTTCCATTCCAGTATGTCCCCCCTCCTAAGCCCTCTGCCCATGCTCAAGTGCCCTCTTTTCCCCCTGGCATAGCATCAGAAAAGCATACAGGTAGCCTTGTGCAGAAAGTGCATATGAAAAACGAAATAATGTTGCCTGGAGCCTCCATTCATATCTGTTCCCCCCTCAAAGCCTTCTGCCCATGCTCATGGGCCCTCTTTCCCCCTGGCACAGCATCAGAAATAAATACAGTTTCCTTGTGCAGAAGGTGCATATGAGAAACGAAAGAATGTTGTTGTCTAGGCTTGAGTCCCACCCCTCAGATTCACAAACTGCACTCTGCCCATGCTCAGAGGCCCTCTTTCCCCCTGGCACAGCATCAGAAATGCATGCAGTTTCCTTGTGCAGAAGGTGTATACGAAACATAAAAGTATGTTGTTGCCTAGGCTCAACTCCCACCCTTGAGCTCTACAACCTGCACTCTGCCTATGCTCAGAGGCCCTCTTTCCCCTTGGTACAGCATCAGAAATGCATCCAGGTAACCTTGTGCAGAAGGTGTATATGAAACATGAAAGAATGTTGCCTGGAGCCTCCATTCCTGTATGTCCCTCCCCTCCTAAGCCCTCTGCCCATGCTCAGAGGCCCTCTTTCCCCTTGGCTTAGCATCAGAAAAGCATACAGTTGCCATGTACAGAAGGTGCCTAAGAAACATGAAAGTATGTTGTTGCCTAGGCTCGAGTCCCACCCCTCAGATCCACAAACTGCACTCTACCCATACTCAGGAGCCCTCTTTCCTTCTGTCATTGTGTTAGAAATATATATTATTTCATTGTGCAGAAGTCGTATATGAAACATGAAAGAATGTTGTTGTCTCAGCTCGAGTCCCACCCCTCAGATCCACAAACTGCACTCTGCCCATGCTCAGAGGCCCTCTTCCCTCCTGGCACAGCATCAGAAATGCATACAGGTAACCTTGTACAGAAGGTGCAGATGCAAATGGAAGAATGTTTTTGCCTGGAGCGTCCATTCCAGTATGTCCCCCCCCCTCCCCAAGCCCTTTGCCTGGAACCTCCACAAACTGCCCTCTGCCCATGCTCAGGGGCCCTCTTCCCCCCTGGCATAGCATCAGAAATGCATCCAGGTAACCTTGTGCAGAAGGTGCAGATGCAAATGGAAGAATGTTTTTGCCTGGAGCGTCCATTCCAGTATGCCCCCCCCCTCCCCAAGCCCTTTGCCTGGAACCTCCACAAACTGCCCTCTGCCCATGCTCAGGCCCTCTTCCCCCCTGGCATAGCATCAGAAATTCATACAGGTAACCTTGTGCAGAAGGTGCCTATGAAAAATGGAAGAATGCTGTTGCCTGGAACCTCCACAAACTGCCCTCTGCCCATGCTCAGGGGCCCTCTTCCCCCCTGGCATAGCATCAGAAATGCATCCAGGTAACCTTGAGCAGAAGGTGCATAGGAAAATGAAAGAATGCTGTTGCCTGGAGCCTCCATTCCAGTATGTCCCTCCCCTCCCCAGGCCCTCTGCCCATGCTCAGAGGCGCCCTCCCTCCCTGCTGACCTCTTGCTGGGCGTCCCAGCGCTGCTCCTCCCTCCTCCTCCTCCTCCCCCTGCGTGGGCTGCGGCGGTGGCCCCGGTGGGTGTTGCTCCTCCTCCTCCTCCTCCTCCCCCTCCGCCTCGGTCCCTTTGGCGCCGGTTCTTGAACCAGTTGGAGACCTGGGTGAGGGAGAGGCCGGTGTCCCGGGCGAGGCGGCGCTTCTGCTCGGGGCTGGGGTACCGGCTGCGCCCGTAGGAGTCCCGGAGGGCGGCCCGGGAGCGCCGCTTGAAGCAGTAGACGGTCTCCTCGCCGTCCCAGATGGTGCGGGGCAGCGGGAACTTCTTGCGGAGGCGGTACTTGTCCACGGCGCCCAGGGCCCTTCCACGCGCGGCCTCGGCCTCCCGGTACCGGGCGCGCAGGTAGAGGTCCTGCAGGAAGGCGTGGTGCGGGGGGCCGAAGGGGCGGCTCTGGAGCAGGCCGTAGAGCTCCTCGAAGGCCCCCCGTTGGAAGGCCAGCAAGGCCCGCGCCTTGGCCAGGCTCTCCCCGGCGGGGGAGTCCGGAGAGGAGAGCGCCTCCGCGGGGAGAGTGGCCAGGAAGCGGGCCAAGCGGTGGGGGTCCCCGGCCTGGAGCAGCGCCTCGCACACGCACGACACTTGCTCCGCCGAGAAGCGGGGAGGAGAAGAAGAAGAAGCTTGCTCCGTCCCTCCGTCCTCCTTCGGGGTCTCCAGATCCTCTGTCTCCGGCCGGGGAGGGTCTTCGGGGTCTTCCGAAAGCGAGGCCATACTCGGGGACCCCCTCCCCCTCTCCACAAGGCGCCCTTTTCCCTCTCCAAAAAGGTCTCTCCAAATTTCGCCCGAACTTTGCGCTTTTCTCCCCCTCCTACCCATCCGCGCTCCTTCCTCTCCTCTCGGGCTCTTCCTGCCCCATTTTGGCCCCTCTCTGAGCCTCTTTCCCCCCTCTTTTTCCAGGGGGAATCTTCTTCCCTTGGGGAGGAAAGGCCTCCTTCTCCAAAGCTTTCCAAAAGCGCGACTCCGTCTCCAAACTCCGTCTCCAAACTCCGTCTCCAAACTTTGCCCCAACTTCGCCTTCTTTTTTGCGCCTTCGCCTCCTCTGCCCTGCCCCCCCAAAAGCCCCCTTTTCCCAACTTTCCTCTCCTCCCTTCCCCCCTCGACACTTTCCTTTCTCCTCCTCCTTTCGTCCTTCCCACTTTTTTTTTCTCTTTCTCTTTCCCCCCTCCCTTCATCCTCGGCTCCTCCTCTTTCCACAAAGACACCGAGCGCGCGCTCCTCTGGACGCAAGAGCGCGCAAGGCCAGCCCCAGAGAGACAAGAGGAGTTTGGGAAGTTTTCAGCTCTCGTTTTCACCCCAAACTTGCGTTCTCCTTCCTTGCAGAAAGTAGTATTAGGAAGGGGAAGGCCTTCGGGTCAAACACAAACCAACAAAAAGTATGGGAGAGATCAGRGAGAGAAACAGAGAGAGAAGTTTGGGAAGTTTCCACCTCTCCAACTTCAGCCCACTCTTGGGTTCTCCTTCCTCGCAGAAAATRGTATTTCGAAGGGAAAGGCATTTGAGTTAAGCACAAAACTATCAAGGCAGAATGACAAAAGTATGGGAGAGATCAGAGAGAGAAACACACAGAAGTTTGGGAAGTTTCCACCTCYCCAACTTCAGCCCACTCTTGGGTTCTCCTTCCTYGCAGAAAATRGTATTTSGAAGGGAAAGGYATTTGAGTTAAGCACAAAWCTATCAAGGCAGAACTACAAAAAGTAAGGAAGAGATCAGGGAGAGAAGTTTGGGAAGTTTCCAAATCTCCCTCTTCACCCCAAACTTGGGTTCTCCTTCCTTGTAGAAACTAGTACTTGGAAGGGGAAGGCCTTCGGGTCAAACACAAACATACAAAAAGTATGGGAGAGATCAGAGAGAGAAACCGAGAGAGAAGTTTGGGAAGTTTCCACCTCTCCAACTTCAGCCCACTCTTGGGTTCTCCTTCCTTGCAGAAAATGGTATTTGGAAGGGAAAGGCATTTGAGTTAAGCACAAAACTATCAAGGCAGAACTACAAAAAGTAAGGAAGAGATCAGGGAGAGAAGTTTGGGAAGTTTCCAAATCTCCCTCTTCAGCCCAATCTTAGATTGGTCCTTGCTCTCCTCCCAAGAAGGAAGCATCTCCTGATTTCCTGGCTGCAGTCTGCATCTGCAGTCATCTTTGCACCTAGAAATACAAACCCTGTTACGGCCTCCACGTTTTCTCCCTTTATTTCCCAGTTGTCAATCATTCTTGTTGCCATTATCTTGGTTGTTTTGATGTTTAACTACAACCCAGATTTTGCGCATTCTTCTTGCACCTTGATTAGAAGGCTCCTCAGCTCTTCCTCGCTTTCGGCTATCAGAGTGGTGTCATCTGCATATCTGAGGTTGTTAATGTTTCTTCCAGCCATTTTTACCCCAGCCTTGCATTCCTCAAGCCCCACACCTCGCATGATGTGTTCTGCATACAAGTTAAATAGGTTGGGGGAGAGGATACAACCCTGCTGTACACCTTTCCCAATCTTGAACCTGTCTGTTGTTCAATGGTTAGTTCTTCCTGTTGCTACTTGGTCTTGATACAGAATCCTCAAGAGGGAGACAAGTGTTTTGGTCTCCTCATACCACCAAGAACTTGCTGCAGTTTATTATGATCCACACAGTCCAAGGCTTTAGAGTAGTAAATAAAACAGAAATAGATGTTTTTCTGCAACACCCTGCCTTTTTCCATTATCCAGCAGATATTGGCAATTTGGTCTCTTGTTCTTGTTTAGAAGGGAAAGGCAGATAATTTGGATTTTATATGGCAGTGTAGAAGGGGCCTTTGAATGAAGGACCTACCACAAAGCTTAGCCCCCTTCCACACTGCCATATGATCCACATTATCAAAACAGATAATCCACATTATAGGAGTCCACACTGCCAGTTAGTCCACACAGCAGATAATCTGGATGGTGGGTTTGGAGGCTTTGATGGACCTCCTGCTCTGTGTGCATCATGAACTGAGCACCTCTCAGTGTGGACTCACCTCACTACCTCTGAGGATGCTTGCCATAGATGCAGGCGAAACGTCAGGAGAGAATGCCTCTAGAACATTGCCATATAGCCTGGAAAAACCTACAACAACCGTGAGCACCTCTCCGTTGGCCTAGGTTAATACATCCGGGAGTTCTTGCAATGGGGTGAGCCTCCTTTCTTTTGTGTACATAATATCCTAGAATCCTAAAGTTGGAAGGGATCCCAAGAGCTTTCCCAAGGCAGAAAGACATATCAAAGCCCTCCTGACAGATGGCCATCCACCCTCTGTGGAGTTATAGAATACTAGCATTGGGAGTGACCCCAAAGGCTATGCAGTCCAAACCCTTGGGGGTCTCTTCCAATGCTAGTATTGAGCCAGGAAGACAAAGGGTCCTTCCCAGGGAATCCCACAATATCTGCTTTGAACTGGAATATATGACAGTGTGGACTCAGATAAACCAGTTCAAGCACATATTGTGGGATTCCCTGCCTTGATATTCTGGGTTATATGGTTGTGTGGAAGGGCCCTGAGAGAAAGCAGGGTAAATATGTTCATAACAACTCTAATTTTAATGCAGTTGTTTATATATCAAGCTTGATCCTGTTTGGACCGCACTCCAGAAAAGAAGGACGCCCTCATACATATGTATGTCCCTCCTTGTTTGTGTTTAATCATTACACAAAGCAGGCACATGGTTTAAATAAGCTAATTGTTCCTGGCTCCCTTGGCAGGCTCTCTTGTAGGCGCTTGCCTTGGGCTGTTTTGGTCCAAAGGTGAGGGGAAGGTTGGAATCAATAAGCATCTCGCATTAGGCCAGTGTTTCTCAACCTTCCTAATGCCGCGACCCCTTAATACAGTTCCTCATGTTGTGTTGACCCCCAACCATAACATTATTTTCATTGCTACTTCATAACTAATTTTGCTTCTATCATTAATCGTCATGTAAATATCTGACCTTGAAGGAGCTGGGGGTGGTGACGGCCGACAGGGAGCTCTGGCGTGGACTGGTCCATGAAGTCACGAAGAGCCGGAGACGACTGAACGAATGAACAACAACAACAAATATCTGATATGCAGGATGTATTTTCATTCACTGAACCAAATTTGGCACAAAAACCTGATACGCCCAAATTTGAATACTGGTGGGGTTTGGAGTGGGGGTTGATTTTGATATTTGGGAGTTGTAGTTGCTGGGATGTATAGTTCACCTATAATCAAAAAGTATTCTGAACTCCACCAATGATGAAATTGAACCAAACTTGGCACACAGATCTCCCATGACCAAATACTTTGGTGGGCGTTGACCTTAAGTTTTGGAGTTGTAGTTCACCTACATCCAGAGAGCATTGTGGACTCGAACAATGATGGATCTGGACCAAACTTGGTAGGGAAACTCAAAATGCCCATATGTGAACACTGGTGGAGTTTGGGGGAAATAGACCATGGCATTTGGGAGTTGTAATTGTTGGGATTTATAGTTCACCTACAACCAAAAAGCATTCTGAACTCCACCAATGATGGAATTGAACCAAACTTGGCACACAGAATTCCCATGACCAACAGAAAATATTGGAAGGGTTTGATGGGCATTGGCCTTGAGTTTTGGAGTTGTCGTTCACCTACATCTAGAGAGCACTATGGACTCAAACAATGATGGAATTGAATCCAACTTGGCACATAGAACTCCCATCACCAATAGAAAATACTTTGGTGGGCATTGACCTTAAGTTTTGGAGTTGTAGTTCACCTACATCCAGAGAACACTGTGGACTCAAACAACGATGGAACTGGACCAAACTTGGTATGGAAACTCAATATGCCCAAATGTGAACACTGGTGGAATTTGGGGAAAATAGACCTTGACATTTGGGAGCTGTAGTTGCTGGGATTTATAGTTCAACTCCAACCAAAGAACATTCTGAACTCCAGCGATGGAATTGAACCAAACTTGGCACTCAGAATTCCCAAGACCAACAAAAAATACTGGAAGGGTTTGGTGGGCATTGACCTTGAGTTTTGGAGTTGTAGTTCACCTACATCTAGAGAGCACTATGGACTCAAAAAATGATGGATCTGGACCAAATTTGGTACGGAAACTCAATATGCCCAGATGTGAACACTGGTGGAGTTTGGGGAAAATAGACCATGGCATTTGGGAGTTGTAGTTGTTGGGATTTATAGTTCACCTACAACCAAAGAGCATTCCGAACTCCAATGATAAAATTGAACCAAACTTGGCACACAGAATTCCCACAACCAACAGGATTTGGTGGGCATTGACCTTGAGTTTTGGAGTTGTAGTTCACCTACATCCAGAGAGCATTGTGGACTCAAACAACGATGGATCTGGACCAAACTTGGTACAGAAACTCAACATGCCCAAATGTGAACACTGGTGGAGTTTGGGGGAAATAGACCATGGCATTTGGGAGTTGTAGTTGCTGGGATTTATAGTTCAACTCCAACCAAAGAACATTCTGAACTCCAACGATGGAATTGAACCAAACTTGGCACTCAGAATTCCCACGACCAACAAAAAATACTGGAAGGGTTTGGTGGGCATTGACCTTGAGTTTTGGAGTTGTAGTTCATCTACATCCAGAGAGCATTGTGGACTCAAACAACGATGGATCTGGACCAAACTTGGTACAGAAACTCAACATGCCCAAATGTGAACACTGGTGGAGTTTGGGGGAAATAGACCTTGACATTTGGGAGTTGTAATTGTTGGGATTTATAGTTCATCTCCAACCAAAGAACACTCTGAACTCCAACGATGGAATTGAACCAAACTTGGCACTCAGAATTCCCACGACCAACAGAAAATACTGAAAGGGTTTGGTGAGCATTGACCTWGAGTTCTGGAGTTGTAGTTCACCTACATCCAGAGAGCATTGTGGACTCRAACAATGATGGATCTGGACCAAAATTGGCACAAATACTKAATGTGTCCAAATATGAACACTGGTGGTGTTTGGGGAAAATAGACCTTGGCATTTGGGAGTTGTAGTTGCTGGGATTTATAGTTCCCCTACTATCAAAGAGCATTCTGAAACCCACCAATGATAGAATTGGGCCAAACATCCCACACCGAATGCTCATGACCAAGAGAAAATATTGTATGTTCTGATGATCTTTGGTGACCCCTCTGACACCCCTCTGGCGACCCCCTCAGGGGTCCTGACCCCCAGGTTGAGAAAGGCTGCATTATGCCTTTGAGGGCCACACTTTCCAGCAAGGGGTGGAGTTCCAAACACAGCTGGCTTTAA